TGCCCAGGTTGGGCGAATCATCGGTTGCTCTAACAAAATGATTTGTAATGCCCTAAAATATGATACCAAACCAGAAACACGCGGGAGAAAACTTGCAATGACACCAAAAATGGTAACGCGCCTGGTGCGCGAAAGTAAGAAGGACCCTTTTAAGCCGGCTAGCGAGCTTAAAAAGGATCTAAACATATCAGCAGCTATTACAACTGTTAGATCCTGTTTACGTGACAACAAATTATACGCACGCAGTCCAAGAAAAGTACCGTTATTGACTAAAAAGAACATCGCAAAAAGAATTAAGTTTGCAAATCAGTACGTAAATTGGTCCCAAGAAAAGTGGCGGAACATATTGTGGTCTGATGAGAGCAAGATTGTTTTATTTGGTGGAAAAGGGTCTCGGTCTTACGTTAGACGACCTCCCAATACAGAATATAACCCCCGCTTCACTTGCAAAACAATTAAACATGGAGGGTCCAGCATCATGGTGTGGGGTTGCTTTTCGTATTACGGAGTCGGCCCAATACATTGGATAAGACCTATCATGGATCAAAATGTCTACGTCGATATATTGGAAAAAGTTATGCTACCATACGCGGAGTACAAAATGCCTTTGCTTTGGGTCTTCCAACAGGATAATGACCCAAAGCATACGAGCAGGAAAGCTCGATCCTGGTTTGAGACCAACCGTGTCAACGTCTTGGAGTGGCCGGCACAGTCGCCAGACTTGAACCCGATAGAAAATCTTTGGAGTGACGTTAAAAAAGATGTTTCTAAGGCAAAGCCCAAAAATAATATGGACCTCTGGGCCACTGTGCAGGTGTCGTGGAAAAATATACCCAAGGAAAGATGTCAGGGTCTGGTGGACTCCATGCCAAGACGATGTGCTGCTGTCCTTGCAGCCAAAGGCTTCACAACAAAATATTAATTTTTAAGGACACTATCACGCATATTTCTGGATAATTTTTTTTTTGATATTGTTGTATTTTTAAGTTTTTCACTCATTTTTCAATTTTGGTGCTATTTTTGTTGCCGACCAAATTTCCTTAAAATTTCGTATTTTTGTGAAATACTTTCGAGTAAAGTATCAAATGCATACAATTGCCTTCAATTTCATAAGTAATATGTTATAGTAATAAAATAAGTGGTTACCCACTCGCTTAAGCCATTATTCTTAATAAAATTTCGATTTAAAGCCAAGCTTATGTCATGGTGCTATTATTTTTGCCGCAGCTGTATATTCAGCCAATTTTGATGTAACACTGAGGTAACGAAATACCTGAAACGAATACTTTTATTGCTGCAATACGAATAAAGCAAAACACGTGTGAATTCCATTAGTCCGCCCTCCCCCGCTTTCCCCACACTCCCCAATTACCCCCCTTTCCAGCATTTTCCGACTGTGAAACCCAAGAAACGGTGACATAAAAAAGGAAGCAAGGCATGGATGTGTATGCACATATGGAAAAATGTGTATATTTTTTGGAGAGTGCCAAGGTGTGTTTTATTTCGAATGGGGGTAGATAAGCAATCACTCAAAATTGATAACAAAAAAGGGGAAAAAGCGAAAATAAAGAATTTGGTATTGGAAATGCCAAATTTAAAATGAAATGTCGACAAAACAAATCACCCTAATTGCAATAGCCTCCATGTTTTCAATTTATTACTGGCTTTCTAGCTTAACCATCTTAATACCTCCATTTCTTACTTTACGGTCTTTTGAAAACCCGCCTTTGTTTCCCATTGGCTGAGGAAAAGAGAAACAAAGCAAATCAACGAGGCAATTGAAGATACAATATACAAGATACTCGTTAAACCGCTTCCACACACACCTACTCACACTATCGCTCTCCAACTCACACACTCAAAGACTCGCGATCGTTGGCGAATGAAAATGGTCGTTATTTCGACCGGTGGTCAGCAAATACAAATAAAAAATGAAAAAAGTAAACCAAAAAGGTGAGAAACAATAAAAAACGAGGGAGTGTGGGTGAGACGCGAGTATGTAAATGATCCCAAATATTAAAAGGGGCACTGGAAAAAAATATGATAGCTTAATAAAATATATAAGATCTTATAAATCATATATTACGAATTGTATTTTTAATGTTTTAAGGAAAAGAAAACTGAAATATGTTCAGATCTGTCTTTAAGAGTAAGATTAATTTAAATTTAACCAAAAAAAACTGAATTCTCATAATAGTTTTTTAAAAAAAAAGTTTTTTGAAATCGATATCACTTTCAGTAATTGTAAAAAATGTATTCTAACAAAAAGGTCAAATGCTGATATCTTATAAAATCACTAATCATTTCGCATATTTTTAGTGCATATACATGAATAAAAAAACATTACTGCTTAAATGAGATGAAAGAGCACTTTGTACTTCAATTTTCTCCCAGTGCCCTTTTGTATTTTTGCATATTTCCTGACTGCCCGTCGTTGCTTTCTTGTTTACAAAATATTTCCGCAACACATGTCGTTCTTCTGGGGGTTTCGACCCCCTCCAGCCACGCCCCCCTTTCCCCCTACGCCCCTGGTCTTCTTCTAACGCAGCAGCTATGTTAAAAAAGCGCCATTTGGTTTCGTTTAGCAGTCGGCTTTAACTTTTTTTATATTTCTCTTTAGCTTGTCGGCGGCTTAGATCAAATAATGCGATTTCATGGCAAGTCGCAAATTGTCAAGCGGTCGTCGCATCCGCCGCCACGCCCCCCTCGTCCACCGCCCACCGCCATTCAGATGCATTTCGACCTTTCTGCTCCAGTTTGATTATGAAACATAAAAAGTCGGGAAAAAAATTAATTCGCCTCTGCCTTTTTTTTTTCTATAAAGCGCAAATATTTTTAATTAATTCAAAATATTTTTTCGCTCGTTTTTTCCGCAAGTTGTTTATCAACAAGTTGCCGTGCTTTGAAGTTCGCCGGTCCAGAAAAAAATGTTTAAACGCGGACTGGGGGAATTTGTTAGATGGTCGCCCATTAAATTTCCTAGACGCAAATCAATTTTCCAGTCGCTGCAGTTCAGCGAACTGTATTTTCTGTATTTCATTCGATTTTTATGGAGTATCGTATAATTTTCATTTTGATGCCTTTTATGACACTTCCAAAAAAGAGTAAAAAACGGGCGCTGCTTCGACGTCAGTTTTCAGGTTCGATTTCATCTCCCCACTTGGCATAAAAGTATCTCAAACTGAAACGGCCTAGGTATTTATGATTTCGTTTATGCATTTCTCTGTTTTATTGTTTAATTTTGTTACTTCGATTTGTCTGCCCGCGCCGGCGGCGTTTGAAAAAAGTTAATTGAGTTGTAAAAATTATAAAGTTGTAAAAATCCCCCGAATTATTTGGCGGGTAAAAGTTATGCGGTGCAGATACCGATTTGGTTTCCTACCATAACTTCCAGTTGAAACCAGCTGGAAAACAAAAGCGTAACCGAACTGTAGTTTTCGATGTTTTACGATCGAGAAATGAATAGCTCTCCGTTCCCCGTCCAACTCATTTCTTTTTCAAGGGTGTTTTCTTTGGTTTTTACGATTTCGGATCGTGTTGAGCTCCAGGTAAAATCTAGTGTAAAGTGGTTATGAAAAGATCTTACCAGATCACCTGATCTTGACTTCTATCCGATTTTATTAAACGGTTTACCAATAAACTGGTGTATAACTTACATTTTTCCTGGCGAGCAAGATTATATTGGTGTCTTTTTTAAGCTCTAACTGCCAAAGTAAAATAGGTGAACATTTGATTGAAATACTATATTTGCTGCTAGTCCTTATGACAAGTTTTCCTATACACTATTGATTGACTAAGACAACTTGTAACCAAATTATTTTTAATTTCCTTATATTAATTACTTATGGATGTGTCAATTTAATTTAAAAACCATAAATTGAAACCTGAATAGAAATTAATCACCGGTTATTATAATGCGTTTTCGTAATACGTAATTTTAAATGTTTTATTATTCATGGATTTTAGTTTATATTTACCCATAGCTAGCTCTGTTAACCCTGAGAACCTATCGATCACTTCCCACCCCTACCCTCATTCAGTATCTCCATTCACCTCTTTTAACCCTTAAATCCTTAATGATCTTATCGGCTTCTCATTAGCCGTCGTTACTGCCCCAATCCTCGGTGCTTGTACTCATTCAGGAACGATCCTTTCCCATCCCCACTACCCATCCAATATCCAAATACAGCTGCAACAAGTGGCAGGTCTCTAACGATCCCGAGACTCTACCCCTTAACCCAATGTCTCCGGAGGTGTCATAAATCCACATGTGGCTGTAAAGTGTTACTAATTTCTGTTTCTGTTTCCATTTCGATTTATGTCTCTCTGTTTTGCCCATCACACGGCCCTCTCTTTTAGATATCCTGGGGTCTTTGGAATTTGGGGTAAATTGTGTTTGTATTGCATTTGAAAAAATATCTAGCTTGGAAATTGAACTCCATACCAAACTAAATGCATGCAAAATTGTAATTATAAAGGGGGTTATCACTTTAAATATGATTAAAGTTGCTTAAAATTAGCTGTGTTTTCATATGAAATTAATTTCCAAAAATTCAAAATTGAATATTTTCTAAAAAATTGTATTATATAATGAAATAAAATTTTTTGGAGGCATAATGAAACATAATAGAATTAAGAAAAAAAATATTTTCCTAACTATAAGGTATTTCGAAGTCGAAATATGAAAGTATATTTTTCCCACTCGTTTGTCGGCGACAGTCGTCAACCCCCCTCCATTTTTCGATTCCGCTCTGGAACCACCTAATTTCACATGAACATGTTAATGTTTACACGCGTACCGCCGCGATTTTTATGTTCGCCCCCGCCGCGTATTACTGTCTCTCCGCCCCCAAAGACCCCACCACCCCCAAGACACAACTAAAGATCCAACCAACCACCGTCTTTAGCTTATCGCCACGATCGTCTAAAAATCCGACGATTGCCGAGCTCGTCTTGGGGAAACAGCCCAGCGATCCCCAAGATCAGTCGCAGTTTGCTCGTCAACCTCGTCGCGTCTAGAGTTTATCCGTGTCGTAAGCTCTATTAAAATTTCCCGAGATCTGCGTGGGTGCAACTGAAGGATAAAATCGTGATTTGGTGACACGGAGAGTTTTATGACAGTGGTTGAACTAATTGAATTGGAGAACTTAGTTAAGTGCCGTTGAAAAATGAGCGAAAGTGCCAGCTCCAATTGTTCCAAGGATCGTGCAAAGCCGGTGGAAACCCTCGTCCTCGCCAACTATGCCTTGAAAGCCGAACAGAAAAAGGCCCAAGGACAAGGTGGCCGAAAGGAGGACGAACGCATCACCACTGCGGTGATGAAGGTCCTCGAGGGCTACGACTGGAACCTAGTTCAGGCATCGGCCAAGTAAGTCTCCTCAAGAAAATAGAATAAAATAAAATTTGTATTATTAATCGGATGTATCATGTTCTTTATCAGCAAGACAGAAGTGTTACCATCTTATCATGATTATAAAAGCGTTGGTAGAAATTTATATTTAGACAGATGTGCTAATTAGGTATGATACAAATGTTTAAGGACAGCATTTTATTGTTATGATAAAGATATCTAAAAACATCAAGATAAATAGCTTAAACTTGGAGAACTTAATTAAATATTTTAAAAGAAAAAGATACCAAGCCAATTCTAAAATAGTTTTTTAGCTTATCTTTAAGCAATTCATTATTGTTAGAACACCCAAAAATCGGTTCCCATCTCCCGGCAAGCAAATTGAGTCCTCACTGGGGCCCCGAGCCACCAATAACCCATGAATGACTAACCAACCTTCGATGAGTTCGCTGATTAACACAATTTCCAGGCATATATGCATATACGTGGGTTTTCTTTTATTTAACTGGATAAACAAACTTGGCGAACCGCAAAGGGAGAAAAAATGAGAAGTATTGCCATTGGAGAAAGAAGGGAAAACGATTGGGAATCTGCCGGCATATGTAAATATAAATGAATTTACACATTCACACATATTAGACAAACAAACCTCGGCAACAACAAATTGGCCAAAGGCAGAAATAATAGGAAGAGGCAATAACAAGCCACCAGATACAAAGATACAAAATACGGGCCTCAATAAATGTGTCTTGCAGAGTGGAACAAAAAGTGTTCGAGATGAAGACGACGACGACAAATCAATTCAGGCATAAAAAGCGAATAAATATGTTTTTAGCGTAAAGATGCTAACTGCTAACAAGGTGGGGGATGGGGTCTTCAGGGAGAGAGGGGTCCCAGCCACAGCAGATCTTAACTCAAGCGAACCGGGGAGTTGACACTTGACAAGATGTCGTATGTGGGTTCCGTATTTTGGAGTACACTCGTAGTACTTTGGGTCGTGAGAAAGACGAGTGGCAGCCGCGGCTGATCTTTCTGATCCCTCAGATTCCAGATTCTCCAGATCCTTGGCAGCTCTATCTCTCTGTTTGACCGGCAATTAGCAAATGCCGGGGCTTCCACCTCCGGTCTTTCAGCAGGGGTCCCAGTCTTATCTGAGTTTGTCGGCCGCCTCTGCTCGCTTTGTTCTCTATTTCGTCGACGTCGCTTATCACTGGGCAGAGATTACACTTTGAACAGAATTTTTTTATTTTAAAATTAAGATCGTAGTAAAAAGTAATCGACCTTAGTTAAAAAATATATAAAATTGGATTGCATTTCACAAAGAACGAATTTTCAAAAAGAACTCAAATAATAACGCAAAATTAGGAATTATTGTTTTAAAAAGTTGCTATTTCATTTCAAGAAGTTTTACAAATTTGAAAATAATCTATAGTAAAAAAGGTAACATATTATTGATTAACGATCCCTTTTCGCCCAGTGTCTGGTTCTCAGCGGTCCAGGGACAAACATCCTTGGGCACAGTTACCCCTCATTGCGAAATGCGCAGAAAGCGCTGTCAAGAGCACGTGTGTGTTTGCACAAGGATATGAGCGCCATTTCCTTTCCTTTATCTATCCGCTGTGGGGTGCCCTCAGCCCCTACCAACCCCTACCAAACCTTTCGAACCCCCCTGCACCCACTATCCCCTCCACCTCTGTGGAAATTGTTTACCTTGCGCTTTATGAGCCTTGTTTATTTCCACTTAAAATCGCTTAAATGCACATCGCTTCCCGCAAGTCCCCGCTCACTTCACCGATTACCAGTTACTCCTGTCACCTTTCAAATTAAATCTTTTAAATGGTGAAAAAATGTTGTAAGCGTTGGTGGGAGATACGTTTAATTGCTTCACTGTTTGCGTTGATTGACAGCAGAAATTGATTTCCGTTTCCTCTTTTTTAAGCATTTTGTTTGGAAGAGGTTGAAGTTCATTGAAAGCTGTAAAATACTTTTATCTTAAAATTTTTATATACAAATTTACCAGTTTTATAAAGATTTTTAAAGGTGTAATCACAAAAAAAATGTATCTTTGGAAATGTACTTAAAATGTTGCCTACTTAAATCAGTTTTTTAAATATAGCCATTCCAATTATTTACCACAATTTTCGAAATATTTTATCAAAAGAAGCACATAGCAAGTATCGACTAAATCTAACATTTCGTGGCTTCCTTTGCTAATTTTTTATGATCCACTTTTTGGCGAAGGGGAGACCGCAAACATTATATGGCTGTTTGATTTGGTTAAATGTGTTTCGCATGAATCACTTGAGAATTTGTTACTTAAGACCAACAAAAAGTGCTGGGAAGCCACTTGAATAGTCTGACGATCGGCGTCGCACGATATATAAGGTATCACCCATTGGAGGGTTTGGGTTTGTTATTAAATAATGCAGATACCATGTGCGAACCCCTTCTTATGCGCCATGCTCTATTTACTTGGCTCGATTAGATATGGGGGCTCAATAAGGAGGAGGGAATGTAAGGCAGTCGGCAAGAGGAGCCCAACTTCGGGTAGGACTTTGGCGACCCTATAAATACTTCATTGCTTATCTGCGTGTCCGGCCCGAGGTGTTATCATATGTGTATAGTTCTCCAAATCCAGGTGGGTAGCGCTCCTCCTCGGTTCCCAGCCCTTGTTCCATCCGATAGTTCTTCTTTCGGTGCTGCGACGAGTCAATTTACATGGCCTCAACAAGTCATCTCGGGCAGCCTAACCAAACACTCTTCCACTTCCCCATGGAGGAAGCCCCAACCACAACAACCCATCAACGGGGGACAGTGGCTCATATCCACACATATTGTGAGGGGTAGAACGATTCTATAGTGCATCTAAGCCCCAATGGGAGTTATTAAGTTCCTAAAGACGTGACAAAGGTACCATTATAAACAAATATATATTCATTTAAGAAATGATTTATGTTATATAAGTTTGCTTATTGATAAAAACATTATTAAATTTATGGATCTTAAATATTTAAAATTCTTTTTCTTCTAAAGGCATTGTAAATACTGTTAGCAGAGAGATAAATATATATACGTATATATAAGGTTATAATTAATCGATTTTTTAAGATATGATTAAGATATTTAATCTTAAAGTTGTGAATAGTGTTATATCACTAGCTTGAATTTTTACTATGAATTTAGCTTACAATTTTTGAAAAGTATTTAAACCCTTTAACACTATTTTTATTTCCACCGTGTAAGGGTTTTCGGCTGTTGGTGTTGCCAAGGGGGCCGGCAAACATGTTCCTAGCTGTTGCTCCACCTCATGTTGGTAAAACCCCCCATATGCTGGTAGTGCCCCGCCCCCGAAAGTCCGCCCTGAGGAGCAGCAACCTCAGCTCTTGGTGGCCGGTAAAAGTTTGTGCAGCGGCAACAACAAGAGGCAGATACACGTGCGGCTTACAAGGCAAATATTGATTTTGTTGCTGCTGATGCCGCTGTTTTTTTGTTGCCGCCCCATAGCTACAAATGCTGGCCAAAAAGTTTTCAGCCTAGACTTTCGTTTTGCATATTTTTTGTTGCAGTAACAGGAATTTACAAAACATTGGCAGCTCAGCTCCCCGAGGTGTTGTCGTCGTTCTGTAGCCCCCATCGATGGTCCAATTTTATGACCAGGTGAGCGCGACAATGGCCGAAAAGGCTGCCAGCCAGCTAAAGTGCAAGTAAGCCAAGTCGGCGGAACGATGTGAGCCAAAGTCAGCGAGGCTCAAAGGATTCCGCGATTAAGGCCCAAATCTGTCCGAAGAGGAGGGAAATTTGGGGACGGAAATGAAGTGGAACATCGATTTGATGAGCTCCGTTTTTCCATATTTGTAGAGGGGCTTTCCAGTATTAGGGGCATATCTGTTGAAGTATTGTAAAAAAAACTGATCTAAGAAATGGGCTTTTAATAAAATTCCGTTTAATAACAATATTATTTAACCATAAAATTTCTCACTAAAAAAATTTTTTTCCGTTGCTTGTTGATTAAATAACTTTTATTATTACTCAGAATATACGTAAGTTTCCTTGAATGAATACAAAATAATGCCATAAAATAAAGTGTGCTTGTTATTGACCTTTAAAACCAGTATTTAAGGTTTAAATGGCCATGCGCAGGCACAATTTCAATAATGTAGATACAATATCTAGGGTATCCCAACTTTTAGTTAACCTTTCATATTTTGCTGAGTTCGGCGTATTTTGCCAAATGTTAAGCAACATTGGCGCATAAAATTGAGGGCGCATTTGATCCGGCCATAAGCTTTTAGCCGAAGTACTCGCACATTTCGGCGCAAATCCGCTCGATATGCCTTTCAAAAAGGGTTCAATGGCTCAGCGGCGCTGCCATTGCCCATCCTGTATCCTTTCGCTTTCCTGGGGGAATCCGAGTCCTGCGGCCGCAGTTTCCACGGAGGGTGTGCACCCACGCGATTACTCCTCGGATGCCAAAGTCTACCGGATATCCCGCGCAGAAATACTCGATGGACGGACGGGAAAATCGCCAGCGGCAAAATAGGTGTGAAAATTCATAGCGAACTTTTCATTTTTGCGAGATTCCGCGTTACACTAGAAAACAGGCAAAAATTGCTGGGCGGGAAGTAATAAATAATATTTGGCGTAGACTTGCTTTGCATTTAGGTGAATCATGCAAATTCGCACGAATTCAAGGGGCTGGACTCTAAATATTAAACTGGCTTTGATTAGAAGTGAGTCATTCATGATTTAAAACCAGTTTACAAACATATTGTCATTTTAAAGATTTGCACATGTAAGATATTTACTTTCATCACTTTGATTGGGTGTTTACTTTATAGGGAATGAGTCATAAAATAAAAATGTATGTAGATTCCTTATTTGCAAAAAACCTCCATTAGTTATCATTAATGGTATTATAGATATATTCTCGGTATATATTTAGACAGTGTCCTGGCTGTGCAGTGTATTTTTGCTGAGGGCTTGATTCAGGGTTACTACACGACAATCATCAAATGTCAGGGACATGTATCCAGCTGACAGCATTGATTGTAACTGCAGCCACCCATCAATCCACCCAAAAAAGAAAAAATCCACCCACAAAAGCCAGAATGATGCAGGGCTCTTTCCTCTACGCCACTTAAACTGTCGCTCTTCATTGCGTTCCCATCCCCGGCTGCCACGCCTTCTTTTCCTGGATCCTTTCACGCCTATCCAGTTGTTCCCAGTTGGTCAGTGGAGCAGGGGAATCCCCGAACTCTCTGTCACTTTCCTCGAGTGCGGCGCAGTGCGCTGTAAAAATAAATTGACTTGGAAATTGAAAAAAACAAGAAAATGAAAATGAAAATGAGAGTGGTAGTGGTAGTTGGATGTGGAAATGGTTGAGGACGTGGCCAAATGAAATGATAACAGAGAATGGGATCGAGATGAAGTGGCCGAGAGGCGGCTTAAATAGAAAGGCAAGGCTCAAAAGGCCGCTCCTCAAGAGGTTGCCATGTGTGGATGCTTCAGTCCGATAAGTTTCCAATAAGTCCGACCATTCCCATTGATCCCTGACCTAAGAAGAGTGGCCAATAACGAGATGTTTATCTTGTTACCAGAACCACACAAAGTTGTTCAAGGGCACTGAGAGAAATAGGATTTCTTAAATGTTACCTATCATTATCTGTTTCATAGCATATCGTTAACTTTACTTATTTAAATATAGAACAATTTAAATAGATATTTGTCGATTCACCGCTGTATTATAGTAAAACGAGCAAATCTTTATAAGCAGAATAAAAACGGCAAATAATACAGATCAATTTAAGAAATAGTGCCGTAAAATTTGAGCTCAGCCCTTTTTATATCATAAGCAATCCAATTGGTCTCGATAAGATAATCTCCTTCTCCTTCGACTGGAAGCTTTTCTAATGATATATCATGCTAAATATAAAATATTGATGTTAAGTACATAGTTGTCCGGAAAAATACTTACATTAAAAGGACAATGGTGATTAAAATTCGTGTAATTTTCAATAACGTTAAGCCAAAAATTGATGACGGGACTCGATTTTCGGTTTTTAAGGAATCTGCAGGCATCCACAGTGACATTGTACATAAATGGTCTGTAGCCATTAAATCGTTTAAACATTGCCAAATTCACCTGAAATTAAAGGAACATTAACTATACCACAGCTCGGATTGACCACTTACCTTTATTTTAGTCACTGGCGACTTAAGCAGGTTGTACTTGACTGAAACATATTTATAGCTTCGATTTACCGACTTCAGGTAACAGTGTTCGAAGTCCCCAAACTCCATATCCAAACTTGTACACTTCACGTTGGTGAATTCGAATTTAGAAGTTATCTAGAAAACTCTTTTACATAACAATTGAATTTATTAATTTAGCCTCACTTACCTCAGCGACTAAAAATAGAATAGCAATTAGCTGAAAAATTAAGCACTCTTTGTTAGACATTTTAAACCGTCGAAATCGAACTGAGCAATGAAATAAAATTAATTTACATTTTCGGATTTCTGCTTTCCACGCGATTAACCTTTGCGATCAAATTATGATTGTTACACAATAATATTTAGGGTCATTAGTAGGAAATATAAAATTTAATTTCAGTTCCCGATTAACGAAGCATTTAAGTAACACATTTGGTTATGGAAAACTCATTAAGTTTAAATGATTTTTAAATTAAGATCGAACATAATTTAAAATAAATATAATTGGCAAATACATTGAACATTTTAGGAGGTTATTAAATAAATGTATTTACTTAAAGGATATACCTGTATCTGATACCATTTTCCAAGTGCAGGTGACAAGTAACAGCCACAAAGGCTGAGCAAACTCAGATGCAATCTCACGGTAGCAGGTCCCCCAGATTGCGGTAGGAAAAGGGGCAGTACCAGCACCTTATCACCTTATCAGGGCTCCTTGGTGTTTGACCACCTTTTCGGACGAACTTCGAGGTCTACAATCCGAAAACATACGAGAAGAAAGGCAACCGACCGCAGAGCAAACAGGCGACTGCATCCGTTGGATGCATTTTAAATTTGTTTGACAAAAGTGCCGTAAAAAGAGCGGCGGCTGCGTGGGAAAATGTGGGCACTGCCTAAGCAAATAAGAAAATGAAAACGAAAAATACAAAAAATACAAGAAAACAACGACGCCTGCAATTTGTTTACACGCGCTGTATCTGTTAGATACATTTCATATTTGTGAACTTGTGAAAATCGCTGGGACGTCTCCGCCGCTAATTAGGCGCATTTGTCCCCACTTTTTGACATGCGCTTACAAATTGGAAATGAAAATGGGCATGGAAATGGAAATAAGAATTTTCGTGCCATGTTTACAGCTTCGTGTTAAAGCTGTAAATATTTGGGGTCCCTCCATCTCCAACGCCCTAACCCGTCGTAAAATTTAATAACAAAAGCGGCAAATGGCCCATTGCTGATACAAGATGCGCAACAAAAGCCAAAGTGTATCTCACATCTTTGTATCTCTGGCATATGCGAAAAATGGAAAGCTGCAAATTCAAAATTCCTTGCAGTCTCCGCTCATTTCTCATATTTGCCCATGAGCTAACGGCCACTTGAAGATATCACTTAATGAGATTTGCGCATCTCCGAATGCAACAACAGCAGCAAATAATGAAGACGTGCTTGAGTTGCCAAGTGCCCCGGGGATCTGCTATATATATATCACTGGGGGTTCCGAGGTGCACGTGCAAAAATGTTGTGAGTCACAGATATCTCCAAATACATCACTTAATTATTTGTCGTAAGAGAATGTTTTCGAAAATTAAAAAGTTTTTGATTTTTAAAAACTAAAAAAATATATACCCCGGAACTCACTAAATACAACATTTTTTATAATGTGTTGGTCATCATTTATTCTATATCTTTCTTTTTTAATCCGATTTAATATTAATATTTTCAAATTTGATAAGACAATGTTCTTTAAAAAAGCAATAGAGGGAAAAATTTTCGAAAGAAAGATATTTCTCACAGCTTGTTGTTTTATTTTTCTTTGAATATTTTTAAATAAAATTGAAACTCATCGAATGATACCTGATTTCTTCTAGTGTAGGCCTGGGAATACTGCACCTCCCAAGTCCCAAGAACTGAGTGCAGCAAAACGAACATCACTTGATTCTGATTAGCGTGCTGTCAAGCGTGAGAGTTGCATATATATACTGGCAGATACTTTTGAATTGCGGGGGAGGGTGAGGTATATAGGATGCTGGGCGGGTGGCGAGGGGGAGTGGCAGGGGGCGGGGTCACGACGCCGACGATACCAAAAGCCAGATAACAAACCCCAAGACGCTGTCCATTTGGCCTCCGGTCGCGTTTTTAATCGCTTAATAAGCTCGGCCGAACTTGTAATTAAGCCCAGGCAGAAAGCGGCTAACAAAAAATTATAAAAGGGAAACGTTAAATGTTGATTTATTTTACTTTGCCTTAATACCTTTTACTAAATGTCGGTTGCAATGTAGATAAAGCTTATATATTTGTTATCAAGTACTTAATTCGACAAATAAATATTTTTAGATGATTGTTATTTTTGTTCATCTATCTTTGAAACAAATAGTTCAGCTTTAAAGAGATTTTAAACACTTAAATGTCAACTGAGCCAACGACGAAATTCGCTGAATTTATATCCGATTTTCGTTCCACATGAAAAAACTCATTGTAAAATTTACCCAATTTTGAAATATCATAGTTCATTGTTGATTTTTAGCTTGACACTTAAATAAACTATTTTAAAGCATAGAACAACATTGTAGCTTTTTATGTTTTCAACACAGAAGGTGAAGGTTTTTGTTTTTGTTAAAGTTTTTCTTTCCACATGACTACTTTTTTGTTGATATTGATTCTGATCGAAATATTTTTTTATAGACTTTAGTAAACTGCTGAACTGACATTTTACTAGGTGAATATTTTAATTGATTGATTTTAAGTATTTACTAAAATATCTACTTGCATAAATTAATTATTTATAAAGTCCAGACAAAATTGCAACCCAGGAGATACAATAAGTGTCCATAAATAAAAGCTGATGCTGACCACTTTTTATATATTTTATGTTTTTCCTCTGAGATTCGTTTCCATTTAAGTGCTAGGACCTAGAAAGAACACCTGCTTGATGATTCGCTCTGATTGAAAACAGTTTCTCCCATTTTTCCGGCCAAGCATAGAATGCAGCCAAGCATATCGAATAAACTCGCCCACAAAGGCATTAGCACACGCACACCCAACTCAATTGAAAGATTTACCTAACAAATCTCTTGCCCTGATCATGTTTACTTAGGATAAATAATTCAATATAGGAGGCTCCTAAAAAGGTGGGCAGACCAAAGGAAATCTCGGGCATTGTGCCACAGTGTTCCGCCCCCTTGGAAGGCCTATCTCTTTGATTGAATCTCTGTCTTCGTTGTATTTCTCGGTGCTCGACATGCTAAATAAAATGAATGCATAGATAAAAACAATGTAGGTGATGCGATGTGAGTTAGAGAGAGTTAGCACTGGAAGAAATATATTAAAATGGTAAGGTAATACCTTTACCATACATTTATGAATGTATTTATTAAATTTGTGGGGTCCGAATCGCAGAATGTAAAACTTAGTAAAGGAGAACAATGTTATTATTATTATTTATTAAACGTACTTAAGATCTCTATATTTTTCTTCATGCAACATATTCTATTTAATATATGCTATACCATAATACATAGAATGGAAGCCCAGCCGGTTCTATTTGAACGAGCTTGTATCGTTCCGTCAATGGAATTACTCGAAAGTCCCGGGAAAAGGCAAATGGATGGACTTGGATAGAGGAAGACTCGTTGCATACCTTATGCAAAGTCAAGAGTTGTGGCAGGCACTTAAAGGATTCCCATTGCTATTTCGCATACATTGCAGGAAAAGATATTTGGCCACCGACGAAAAGCCCACTGCTCTGGAATTTTGCACGATTTTGCTGATTGCTTTTGTTTGCACTTCACTTTTGTCGCTGCCCGTTGCTCATGATTCTTGAAAAATACATTTTTGACTGCACTTTATAAACTTCTCTGGTCTCCGGCCTTGGTGGCATTTCTTCTCTCTATTTACCACCGCAAATAAAAGTTTTAATTGCAAATTTCAGTTTGCCATTACCCGTTGTTGTGCCGTTTTTCGGTCTGCGACGTCTTTTTGCAATTAATGAAAACTTATATACCCGGCCAGCAAGTCACTGCAGCTCCTGACTGATTTTCCTACTTACTTTTTGATCTTTTCAGGGCGCCCACGGACCGCAAGAAGGAGCACATCAAGCGCCCCATGAACGCCTTTATGGTCTGGGCCCAGGCAGCTCGACGAGTCATGTCCAAACAGTATCCTCATCTGCAGAACTCGGAGCTAAGCAAATCGCTGGGCAAGCTGTGGAAGTAAGTACCAGTCCTCCACAGATATAGGTACTATATATACACACCACTCGGAATGGGGAAAAGTAGAGGAGAGGCGAAAAAACGGAGACACGTCTCTGGCTGCGTAAACGCTGGGGCATGGACCACTTGAAAAGTGTCTTTTATAAGCTCCACTTCTTGGCCAGACAAAGAAGGCATCCGGAGGGAGCGGGGAATACCCTCCGAGTTTGGTTAAGGGCTTTTCGACGAGACAGCGAATTGCATCAGCAGACAGTTCTCAGGGTGCCAGGGAAATAGTATCAGCCACTCCCAGGAAAACCCAACTGGAGCTCAGCAAATAAAGTCAGATGAATATCTAGGAAGCTGGGATAAATACATTAGGCTCACCTGTTGGGCATTTCGTAAAGGCTACTGCTGATTTACTAGTTTAAACACTCTTAGTTTAACAAAATTAGTTGATATTTCTTTAAATTTAGCTTGACACTGTCAAGGAAAAGTCGAAATATATTTTGATTCCATTGAATTCTTTTTAAGATTTCAGTGAATCGCAAAGGGAAATACTCGCAGTGACAGTCAATTAAACAGGGTTTATTTATGGGTCCACCAAACGGTCCAGCTCGCATTCCCAATTAGTTAAGGCGGATGCTTCGACTTCTTATCACCCAAAGACTCCACTTTTTATCGCTAGTCGCCCGACTCACTGAACTGTGAAATTTTAATTTCAGACTGGACAATATTTTATTACAAACAATATATGAAAACGACGCCGCTGTGTCGCAGATCGCCTTTTGGCCTGACAGTTTTGCATTAATCATGGAAAAGAAGATCTGCGGCAGATTTGAAGCTTTTAAGAGTGGTAGAAACCAGTAAATCACGCGATCGCACATTTATAATTTAGAAGACATATTTCCGTTTCGCATTTAACTTGCCGAAATAAACTTAACTGATTGATTTTTTAAATGTTTACGAAATGATTTTGGCAATTAAAATTGGTTAAGGTCAGTTTTGCACAGATGTTTCAAGATATATATTTTTTAAGAATCCCAGTACCAAAAATATTATGATTATTTTTATTGATCTCGGAAGTTTTATAAATGAGTTCGAATTTTTTTTTAAAAATGTATTTTTTACCATAAAATATATATACTTAAAAATAATTCTGTGATATGTTCTGTGTTTATGTTAACCATGTAACCAATCCATGTAATAGATCCTACATAATACCTGGAATTTCCTTCCGTGCCCCATTGATACTATTTCCCCTCTTCCCCTTGCAGAAATCTAAAGGATAGTGACAAGAAGCCCTTTATGGAGTTCGCCGAGAAGCTTCGAATGACGCACAAGCAGGAGCACCCGGACTACAAGTACCAGCCGCGGCGCAAAAAGGCGCGCATAGTGCCCAGCCAGCAGGCCGGAGAAGGGGGATCGGGATCCCCGGGCCCAGAAATGACTTTGTCCGCCAATCCGGGACACTCCGGGAAGCCGAGGAGCAGCAACTCAAATGGCCAGCGGCGGGCTGGAAAATCAAATGCAGCTGGCCTGGGAAACTGCCCCTCGACCCTCTCGAATTCTAATATGGGCACGGGCTCCTCCTCGTCGGATGTCTTCAGTAATGAGGCTTTCATGAAATCCCTGAACAGTGCCTGTGCGGCCAGTTTGATGGAGCAGGGTCTCATCGAGGCTGGAATGGATTCGCCCTGCTCCACCGCCAGTTCGCTGTCCTCCCTGACGCCCCCGGCCACGCCCTACAGTGGAGCCTCCTCGGGAGCAAAATCCTCCTCCGCAGCAGCTGGGAATAACCCCAGTCTTTTGCTGCGGCAACTAAGTGAGCCAGTTGGAAACGCTGGTCATGATTACGGAGTGCTGCTCGAGGCTGGCCGGGAATACGTGGCCCTGGGTGAGGTCAATTACCAGGGGCAGGCGGCGGCGGTGGGCGGAGGTCAGGAAATGGACTTCCTGGAGAACATCAATGGGTATGTGGGCGGCTATGCGGGCAGTCGGGTGAACTACCCCGGCTACTCTTACCCGGCAAACGGGGGTCAGTTCGAGGAGCAGCAGGCGTCACAGGCCAGTGGAGCCTTAAATTACAAGCCAACAGCAGCGGCGGCAGCCACCGACATCGATCCCAAGGAAATTGACCAGTATCTCATGGATCAAATGCTGCCCATGACGCAGCACCACCATGCGCACCACCACCCGCTGCACCACCACCCCCATCCACAGCCCCACCCACCACTGCACCACTCGCCGCCTTTGAACTCCTCCGCCTCGCTCTCCTCGGCCTGCTCCAGTGCCAGCTCGCAGCAACCGGTGGTGGAGTACTACGACCACTTGGGTTATTCCCCGGCAGCCTCCAGCCAGCAGACCCCGAACTTTGGCCCCCAGCAACCGTATGCCACCGCCTCCCTGACCCCCACTCTGGGTGACCCCGCTCCACAACAGCAGGAGCTGCAGTCCCAGCAGCAGGAGCAGCAGCACCAGAATCCATCGCAGCATCATCTGTGGGGCACTTACACTTATGTCAATCCCTAAGCTACTTCATTTGCACATTTGTTGTTTGGCACAGGAAAAAAGAGGGGCTACTTTTGTGTTCCAATTTTGTACAGATATTCATAGAAACTAAGTCCGCTACTTAGTTTTTGAAAAAGAAATGGCATGACATTCCTAACTAAATTTTATATAATTCCTTTATTTTATATATATAATATTAAACCCCGAAAAATAAGAATCAGTGCACGGCCGAAACTAGTAAGGCTTCATATTCAAAATTGTTACGATTTGTTTTTATAATGGTAAATTGATTTACTGAAATCTTTGTTTTAACCTTAAATCATATTAGGCTATTCGAATATTAAATTAAATATTTATCCCATATCTTTTAAAGAAGTATCTGAGCGCTATGCATTGTCCTATAACTTTGCCATACTTTGTGCTAGGTAAAGCGTAAGATGCGCTGTTATTTTTCTCAGTGCACCACCCCCTTTCACTTCCGTTTCCTGCCCCTCTTTATGGGTCACTTAGATGGCTTTCGTTTATTGGTTTATTGTCTGTGCAATGTCTGTGTGAGTGGGTGATTGTGCATGTGTGTGTTTTTGGCTCGAGGGTCTTTTTGAAGATTCCCTGCAATTTAAGCTAATCGCTGCGATTTTCGTTTATGGCTGCATTATTCCTTTCCCCATCAATATGCAATTGCAGAAAGAATCGAAGAATAAGCAATGGCCATTCAATCTAAATGGAAATGGCCAAAAATGTTTGTGAGAAGGCCAAAATACTGAGTTCATAGCTAGTTGGAAGCAATATAAACTAGTAGTTATAATTTGTAAATGTAAGAACATATTTCCTAGAATTGGCAAGAAAGTATACGGAAATGTATGAGCAATATCATTAAAGTTAGTCGAAGTAAAATAATAAATATAATACAAAGGGTATCAAATTTAAAACTTAAATGTTACAAGATGCAAAAATATTAAATAAATATTTAAAAGTCTAAGCCAGTTACACAGAATTTTAATTCCAAGGAGAAAAGGAGCTTGCCAAGGGTAAGCAAATTAAATTTGTATCAATTTACAGTTCGACAGAAAATGGAATTAATACCAGATTTTCCTGGAAACGAGGCAACGCAAACTGGCCAATTTCAAATAACCCGGGGAGGGTAGAAACCCACTCGGTTTGGGCGTGGCCTATGACAGTTTCCCACACTCTGCAGTCCATATTTGGTTTTTAGTGTCTACACCTGGGCCGTGTGGCACCTGTAACCGTTGTAAAACCAAAATAAATTCCAATGAAATTAACACCCGTCCACCAAACGGGTGCTTCACTTCGTTTTTCGCCTGGCAAAACAATTTGAAACAAAATGAAAACCACACTCAGCCTCAAACGCGTTGTTTTTTATTTGCCTGCCTCTTTTGAATTTTTTATTTAGCACGGCATTTATTTTATTTATTTAAATTTGGAAGCTTAAGTTCAATTTGCGCCTGTAACAAGTTGTTGTTAATTGAAGCGCAAACAGGAAGGGAAAATAAAAGCAAAATGGGTATTAGAGGAGAAGAAAACCGAAAAACCGTGCCAAAAATGGCCGGGAAAATAAAATGGCCGAGGGCAAACAGAAATTCATTTATATGTGTATGCATTAAATTCGAAAGTTGCAAATTAACACATTTAGCGAAGCCCTTGTTTATCATTCAAATAATTTATGTACAGTATTTATTTTCAGATTTTTCGCCTCTTTTCATTTGGTGCCAGGCGCCGGCCGCTTTCTCACTAATTATGTAAAATATTTTCGCCGATTGGCCAGAAGATTTATAGGAATTATTGCGCCGCAAAAAGTTGCGAGAAAGTATCGAAAACTTCCCGGGGCGAAAGCGAGTAAATTTGAAAAGTCCTGAGTTGGTCGAAATTAATAATCAGCTAATGAGATTGCATTATAAATATTTCAATTTGTTTCGATTGAGGGGTCTGTCCATTTGGGTACTCAAGGTATGATGGAATTTTTAATGAGTTCATTATTTTAACAAGTATTTACGTCCTTCACTTTAGATGAGAAATGTAATATATTAATAATATTTTAATAATAAAGTATTTTTCCTAAACCCAAATCAATTTGCTCTCATCCAGAATTTCCTAATTTAATTTCGATGTAAATTGCTATGGGTTCTCAATAACTGCGCAAAGATGAGTCGGGTATAATTTAATTAACTCAATTCGGTGATTGGCATGCAGGCTTAAAGGATATAATCATTTTTGGGCAGAACGGAAGTCGGTCACGTGGCAAATCGGATTCAGAGCCGAGTGCACTCAACCAGCAAATGTGAGTGTCATTCCTCATTAAGTTCCCACAACAAATGTGGTGATGGCCCGACTGCCATTCACGTCCTGCCCAAGGACATCCGTTTTCGTTTGGGTTGTTTAAATATTATTAAAACTAATGACGTTTGCCGCAAACTTTGGCCGTCTCTACTTTTACGCCTGGTCATGCAACGGGTCGTATGCGTAATGCCATTTGCTGGCCTGTCCTCTCGCTGTAACTCGATTAAACTTTCCTCTGCGGTCTCAGTTTAAATTCACTTAGAACTTGGACGATCGGAGGACAGGGACACTCTCATTAGACGTCGGCTTAGCACCTGGGAAAATGTTATTCAAATTAAGCTGCACACGGGATCCGCCTAATGGCCGTTGAAACTTCTGACCCTCCCCGGGAAAACTCAACTTGCCCGAAATTGGAAAAGCGGGGCGGATGGGATGCCGGGTAATGGCCGTTGTTTTTCCTCTGCAATTTCGTTTTTAACGGCAGCAAAATGTGAAAATGTCAGGCACTCAAGCAGCTCAAGGCGGGGCGGCGAACAAAAAACAAAATACAGAAAGGAAAATAATAATGTGGAGCCATTTGAATAAAATATAAGGCGAGAAAAGTTAAATGTGATGCGAAAGCCGCAGACTCCAAAGTAAATTGAAATTTCCTTTCGCTTTTTAATACTCTGGATGGCGATGGTGTTGACAAGATGGAGTCATAGACATTTCTCTAGATTACACATCTTGTACTGGGTGTCGCAATAAATCACTGGGGGTCTTAAATTAAAATGTGTTAGTGCTTGGCAACATTGTAATATTTAAATAAATAATTATGATACTAAAAAAATATTCCTATATACTGATATCTTATTTCGTATGTTGAAAGTCTTTTGTAAAATTTTATAATATTTAAATACACTTAGTCATAATATTCTTAGCTACTTTTTAAATTAGTTGTAGCCCAGTGTATCCCGAATTCGGTAGACAAACATTAAAATTGCTTAGTTGCTTAGTCAATGTTACCTGCCTCGTTGAACCGAAATATATTCGAATTTTTAATGCGACTCGCCCTGAAATGGCGAAAAGAAGGAAAGGTAAGATGATTTTAATGGCGAGGAGCCAGGTTTTTTTGGTGCAGAAACGACCTAGAGGCAGGACTGCCATTTCTTAACGACCCACTTATATTTACGATTGGATCTCAAAGATCGGTGATCCGTAAGTATTGACACAAACCACTTAAAAATGTAAAAATAAAACTCCGTAGACAAACATAAAGACTGCTTTAATGCGCTCGCCTGAAAGTATGCAGCAGAATAATTTTGTTTGCACATCAATCAATGTGATTTTTGGGGGCAACGGAAAGACGGTGCCAAATAGGTGGGCGTGGCCAAGGGGAAGCCAAAAAATCACTTTTGGTACAGCGCTTTCGGCCCATCAATCAGCGTCACGAAAATGCTGCTTATCATATTGCTGGTAGACGGAAAACGCTGGCAGTGCATCAAATTGATATTTGTCAATAATCTTTTTTTCCAGCGGCGGATGTTGCTGTGTATGTGCTGCGGATTTTGCGGATACTGCGGATGCGGCGCCGGCTGCTGTGATAAATGTCAGCCGAAATGACAAAATATGCTCTGTGGTGGTGAAAAACGTGACGAGAGCAGTGCATCAAATGGCTGAAAATCACCATTAAATGGCCACATCAATTTAATTAAAAATGCTTACTTTATGGTAAAATGCAAAATATTTATCCGTTTTTTACGACGCACTCACTTTGGCTGCTGTTTTACGGACAGTGAGGCTAATTAAACAGTCACTTCCGCTGGCCGGAAACGGATAAGTGCTTGCAATATTAAATGCCATTACGAAATGGAATTGTAATTGAATTAAGCAATTAAAGAAGGTCTTTTTAAAAGTCATTTATATACAGTTTTTATAAAAGCTTAAAGCATAATTGTTATTAACAAGTTAAAAAACTTATTGGAAATGTAATTTGTTTTATATACTTTAGTAATTCACTCTCAGTGTAGAAGCCCGAGTCACATTATGGACCTCACAAAAATTGTATCTCATGGATACACTTTCCACGAGACACAAATTCGCCCTAAGGTGCAGTTGGATTACCCATCAGTCGTTGCTCAAATAAATCAAATATTTGTCCGGAGATAGAGCCCCCCATCACAGTTAATATTTGCCCATGCCGTGTGCTCAGCTGAAGACCTTCTGAATTTGGCCCGATGCGAAACTATCTGCCCGATTCGAAGGACAACTTTAATGTACACAGCTCATCCATTAGCAAAGGCATCGGGCTGCTTTGAGCCCCAATGGATCTCTCTGTTTAGATGGATACTCGAGATGTGGATACTAGAACCCCTTGCAGTTGCTACTTTGCCAGCTCCTTGCCTTTCTACGGGCTTTTGCCGGCTTGTTTTCAATTATCAGGCATTACACTTAGGTACACACTTTGATACACATCATTGCCCTGCGTTTCGGTGTCCTGTGTGTGTGTCCTCGTCCTAATCAATGAACATTGAACAACTTCTGGCATGTGGATGGGATGGGATGGAGTGGAGCTTTTTATGAACACGTCTGCATTTTACATTCACGGAGTGAAAAGGACTCAGGGGGAAAACTGAAGCATACACAATGTATGAACTATATAAAAAGCCAGCAGTGATGGGAGCTATCTAGATAATCGTACCTGTATCTTTATTTTGTGTATGTTATGGGACTATTTCAAGAAAAAAATATATAAGTAATTGAAATAAGAAAATTTAAAATTAACTTTAAAACACATTAACACATCTTTTTTATAAGGTGTCTAAAAGTATGCAAAGAAAATAAAATTGCCTTTCTTAATGGGCTTTTCGATTCACAATATTTTGTTGCATATTTTTATGCTTTCTATAATATATAATTTAATAAAATATATTTAACGTTT